TTTGGCGTCTGAGTTGAGGGTGACATGGAGGAGATGGAGCGAGGAGGAAATGAGAGCTTGTGGGCTGTTGTGGAGCCAGGTTGAAAAGGTTGTAGAGAAGAGAGTGGAATGGAGACCTGCTACTGAATTCCTGTGTTCCATTAGGAATCCAAGGGACTAATAATAATAATAATCTGCTAAGATTATAAATTGATAAAACCATTGATATTTTGTGTTCTCTTTGTTACGATTACAAACTTATGACCGGTAGCACTTGATCCTATCTGTTCTTTATATTTTGCATCTCAAATGTAACTTCCTAATCTTCTTTCACTGGAAATTCAATACCTATATACATAGATACGTAACTGAGCAGTCCGAAGAGAAGTTTTTGGAAATATTTGTTCACTGAAATACTTACTGTTTGAAATACCGTTTGAGAACCTTCAAATTGACGAAGATTGAGGCTATAGTTGATAGAAACCTCTTTGAAATATCGATTTTTAATGTTGAAATTCCTGAATAACATTATACACTTTCGACTTTTATGTGTCATCTTTCTAAAGATCACAATGTCAACTTTAACATTCATTTGATGAGACCATTTGAAATTACCGAAATATTGTCGAGTTTTAAATTTACGCAACAGTACAATATGACAGAATAATTTCAGTTATAAGGGAGAAAATGGGACATTAAATTCTCTAAGAATGATAGGTAACAGTGTTAGTTATTATAAATGAGTTACGTAGTATACAGTGATTTTGTTAGGTTGATTTAGAAGCCCAATACACGTATATCCAAACAAACAACTATTGAAAGAAACTGATGGTTATGAACTCCAAACTTCACTCACCTCATGAACAATATAGAATTGAAGAGCTAGGAATTTCTATTTACTGATTCGAAACTAAGTAGCCAGTGAGAGATTTTACCTTCCACTGCCATTTATGATCATGTGTTTGTTTAAGAGCTTTGCTTATCAGTGTGATATTAAAGAAAGAAATATAAGATTTTATTTATTCCAAAGTGGTATCTATCACGTAGTGACATCGACTGAATAACCACAGAAAGTTTAGCTGGTTCATCCTGGTATGAGATTCTGCAGGAGTACACACCTATGACCCCACCGTGGATCGAACTTATGACCCTCACGTCTCGTGGCGAACGCGTTATTTTAAAAATAGTATTCATCACGGATTGGGACCAGTTGGAGAGCTATTGAAAACCTGAGAGCAACGAAGCGCTCGCAGGTGTGTACTGCTAGACAGTAACGTACCAGGACGAAAAAGCTGTCCGGCACTCCCTAATCTTCACTAGTTCTCCAACTGATGTCACACTATGATGAATACTATCTTGATAATACTGACTGACACTAAAACAAGAAAACCAGTTTAGAACAAATGTCAACATGGATTAAACTACATTTCTTAGTTTAACTTTTCGGGTACCACATATCAAATTCATATTGATTCCATCCATCCTATTGTGTGATTGTGTGTTGATACATACATTTATCGGCTTAAGGATGATATCAAAGCAATCAAGCAAAATAATCTAATCTATCAAATTCCATATAATGACTGTGAATTCGGTCAACTACGTAGGTCAAAGTAGCCGGTTGGGGTCAGTTAGGAATTTAGACCCGAATAACATCCATAATCTGGAAAACACTCGGCTATTGCAATTCATGCATGCATTAATACACAACCACACAATAGGGTGGGATAAAGCCACTGTATTAAGTCTAATATAAGTAGGTGGAGAGAGGTAGCTATTGTGATCCAATGGTTTAGTGGGTCTAGCGTTTGAAGCGATCGTTCCTGATTTCGAATCCCGCTGAAAACAACATCACTCACTAGGAGGTAGATATATCCAGCCGACGAATCCCAAAATAGGTCGAGATGGACATCCTGGATTTCATTGCAAGCCACTATCCACCATTGTTATAAGGCAAAAGAGATTGACCACTGAATCTTTGTTCATTGAATCAGCCAACACCCAACATATGGAATAGAAATTAAGCAACAAGTGGAAAATTTTACTACCAATAAAAACGAACTATATGAGGTGACATAACTGTAAGAATCAGATGTCGAAAGTGGTGTGATTACATTGATATGGTTATGAGCAATAATAATATATGCTCGGAACGTCATCAAGTAAATAATACTAGATCAAATCTAATATGTAATTACGTTGTGCGTGTTTCGTAATAATAAACAAACAGGTTATTGCCTCAGTGAAACGTTTTTAAGAACCAAGTTGACAGAATATAATCCCAACCTTGCACAAGAAATCGCTTTGCATAAAAATACACTTTAGAGGGAAAGCATTATCCAAGACACTGCTTCAGAAGGTCAGAAAGTTCATCCAATGATGCCTTATTTCTGAAGCTCATGTTTTCTACTCGCCCTCAGCTAAAATATCGGACAATTGGACTGGCTATTCCTTGATGTGCTTACCAGTCCAGCTTCTTCAGTAGAGTCAGTTATATTGACCGATGCTTGTGAACACCTCTCACCATTTCTTAGTAAAGATGTAGTACAAAATGTGCACAGATCTGTATTAGTTCATTCGGGTCGAACAAACGATAAAGCAAATATGAATCAATCATTTTCGATCACTTACCGTGACCCCATTAATTAACCAAAAGTCACCACATACCCATTAATTCAAACTGTGGAAGCTGTAGTCGCTCACCTTAAACAACCGAAACTTTGTATACAAAAAAACAACAGTTTCAGCCGTATGTATGACTTCCCAAAGCTTTGAAATAGCCTTGTGCCTGCAAAAAAATTAGGGTTCACTGTGCTACATGGATGTTCTCCTTAACAAACGCTAGGAATATATCAAAGCCTGAGTCACTTTCAGTATCGTTAAACAGCTTTTTTTCAATTACGAATAGTTCACATGCTTAAAATGAGGCTGTTCAGTTTCGTATAGAAAATTCTAGACCAGACATTGACAGAAAGTCTATGCAATATCTAACTATAAATCCGATAACTGACGGTCATTTAAGACAACAGTTATGATTACTATGGTATCAGATCAGGTATAATAAAACTGTAAAAGGGTTATACCACAAATGCGAGTGTTCCAACCTATAATTCCTTCAAACTCGATTGTAAAAACCTTTTCACAGTCAACCTGAATGCCATCAAAAAGACTGTCTCAATAAACTGCAATTTCAAGTGTGTTGATTAGATGAGTTACAGAAATAGAAACGCTGGTGAAATACAACTACTTTTATGAAACCTCGTAAATCTCTGTATACGTATACTGCTTCTAACCGCTTAAATTACGTCCAAGAAATTCACTTGTATGTGAATTTCTGAGATAAGAATTGACAGCTGAATCTTGACTTCGACCAATATTGAATACATTTTTCTGTGTGTAAGAAATTGTTCTATAAAAAACAGTACTTCGCTTAGATTTTAAACTTATTTACAACTATGAAAAAACTGGTGTTCCATCGGTGATTCAACCCTCTGTAACTCACTGTTGACGTCAAAGATTTAACTACTAAATGGTTCAGTCTGTGGTTGATCCCACCCTGTAAGAAAAGATTAGTTTTTAGCACTGAACGATGTTTGTCAACCAAATTTTGAAATAAGAACACTAAAAGTGAAGTCAAACGACCCTGCAGTGAACTATATTTTGATCTTTTATGATAGGATACTTCAAAATACAAACATTTTTAGTGAAAAAATAAATACCTTAGAACCGGATAGTGCATTTTACTGTTACTGCTTGCTTCGTATCAACAACACCTTGCTATCGAAGGTGTCAAGTTTTAAATTTACTGAAACTAACAATTTAAGTTAAACCAGTAGGAGTTGAAGATAAGAATCACTGAACTCAAAGCGTACAGTCGAAACATTAGAAATCCCCTATTATCTGTGACTTCTTTTTATCGGATTTCGAGTGAGGTCATAGATACGTGGTGGTAGACAATACGTTGTTGAAAATAAGTACAAATTTTGTTCTGCGCCATTCATAATAGTTCTTTAAGTGATATGATCTTAATGAGAAGATTTTTACCGGTCTTCAGAGCACCATTCCGTCAATCATAGCAGTTGTTAACGAAAACAAAATTTGAAAGTAAATGAGTATTCGACGAACCTTATGAAACAGCCTGAAATCTGTATAACAATGTGTTCACCAATCATCGGTGATTAAAGCAATAATGTACAATAGGCCAGTAGCCGTCGAACACTAAAACGTGATCGCATTCTGGTGTTTGTCATTTATTTCTTTTTAGTTAGTATTCATCGCGGAATGAGGTAATTTAAGGGATTATTGAAAACATGAAGCACTGGACAGGTGTTTCATCCTAGTATGCGACTCTTCATCGGTGTGTATCACTGACCCCACTCGACAGAGGTCGAAATAAAGACTTTCGAGTTTCTCAGCGAACGCTTTAAACGTTCAGCCAATGGGTCAAAGTTAACGATTAAAAATCTTCTACTGACAGTTCGCGATGTAACGTGACTATCCACCAATTTTTTCTGTTGATTATTGGCTTCACTTTGTAACCGGTTGACCCCAAGTTTCAATGAAGACCTTGATCGTCGGTTATGCTATATTTTGATTTGACAGAAGTAGGAAACTGTGGAATCCTGGTTTCTCAGGCAATCGGTGGATGGTTAAAGATTTCTTTCAGAAACCTGAAGACCCCAAGTTCGACCTCTGGCGGGTGAGTTTGTGGAAGTGTACTGCTGAGGCGTCATATACTAGAAAGAAACAGCTATCTATTGCTGTTAGCTATTCAATGGATCTCCAAATGATGCCAGTTGGTGATGGAGACACTACCTTAAAAACAAAATCTCCATTAACCCCGATAATATATTTCTCATTTAACAGAATGAAGGTTTAATTGCCCTGATCGATTCTCTGAACATAACTAGTCTAATTGACTATAATGCTATCGTGTATCTTAAACAAATATAACAACCTTTGAAAAGTTTTTCGCATAATTATTCAAAACACTTTTCCATCCTTATTTCTTTACTACTTAGACAAACGACAGATGAAAAGTTGTTCACAAAATAGATAAATATCATTCAAATTTGAGGGGAAAAAGAGAAGAGGATGGAAAACTCTTATTATACAATCAATCAACAAGTGTATTAGACAAGACTTCAGTGAACATAGTGAATTAATCGCAAGGCACGTGTATATTTAAGACTGAAGAAAGTGAATTAAACCTTTACTTTGATCTTTAAGTAAAACTACTCATTTCAGACAGATGATTATTGATTTTTAAAATTTTGAAATACCCATCAATCATAGAGTTGCATATTCTGTGCTCTGCGACAAATTAATCAGAAACTATCAGTCCTGTATCACCTAATCACTGATGAAAAGAGTTCATTTGATAGAATATGCTATCAGTAGGGTTTCACTTTGTCAAAAAAATATACGAAGTTGTATGAAGCAGCTATATAGTTCAGGAACTTAGCACGTCACGGAAAGCATTTCCAACAAACTACAGATATTCATCAACAGCTGCTGCCTACGCACACTCGATACTGAAGATCAAATGGCCAGAATAATGAGAATAAGCAACAAGGAACTATGGTTGGCTGGCAACGAACCAACGAACCAAGAACCTATCACCCAACAAATATGCACTGGAAGGAAGTGGAGATGGATTGGGCATGCACTGAGTAGACTATTCGGGGACATCACGCGCCAGACCAGGCCGTCTAGTAGAATCCAAAGGAGAAAGGTCGAGTTCGGCATAACATGGAGGAGATGGTGTGTGAGGAAGAAATGAGAGCTTGTGGGTAGTTGTGGAGCCAGGTGGAGCCAGACTGGATAGAACAGAGTGCAATGGCTATGTGCTACTGAAGCCTTTTGTTCTACTAGGAACCTATGGGACAAATAATAATGGAAATTCATCACGGACTGATATCGGTTGGGGAACCATTGAAAACCTGGGAGCACTTGACTCCCTAGCAGTTAGCACCGACGACCGGTCTATGGGATCGAACTCAGGACTGTCAGGTATCATAGCGAATGCTTTAATCATTCGGTCAACTTCTGTCAATTCACGACATAGCGCAACTATCACCTAAGGTTTTCAGTTTGCACTATCTTCCCTTTCTACTGTTTGACTCCACAAGTCACGGTTTCCCATTAAAACTTCATGATATTCATCTGGAAGAATGTCTATAGCTGGGCAGTGAGTTCATACTACTGAGGAGTCCCATGCTATGACGAAACAGCTATCCAATACTCCCAGGTTTACAACAGTTCCCCAACTGATATCAGTCCATGATGGACACTTCCTCTAGATTATTTCTTTCACCCTATTTCAGCGTAACTAACTCAACGATAACTGATGATAACTTGACCATCAGTGAAAGAAAACTCATTGAGTAGTTTAAAAATTCCCATAAAGTGATAAAACGAAAGACGTTTGGCGGAGTCACTGTTTTCAGTGATATAATTCTCAAGCTATCCAGTGGCATTGAATACTCTCTTCACATATTGAATATTCCCATTGAGATATGTAGAATAAGGACTGATTGAGCGAAGAAATATATTTCTTTTTCACTCAGGTCTTCCTCTTAACACCACACTAACTGAATCAAAATACCAATCAAGTAACAGGGGGTCGGTGAACAGTAATTATAGATTTTAAGTAAGTCATGGAGACGATAAGGTTTGGAAATTCAGATACAAATAATCAACAGAGTAATTAAAATTGATAATATGAAACAGGTTATTCTTACGTAAGTAGAGTGATTATTGACGAGTATTGAGTAGTAAACAGTAAATAATTACGAAGCAATAAGTAATAAATAAATACTGATAGAAACAAGGGTGGAGTGGCGACAGGTGTACAAACCGACACCAGAAATTACATCATGTTTACAACCACGGTAATGAAAGTGGTAGAACGAACTTCTTTTGAATACAAAAGCAAGATTTGTAAGGGTAGTTTGCAAATGTCTCTACTATATGAATGCGCAGTCCACGTGGTAAAATTAATTGGAATGCTTTTCCAGTATCCACTCGATGTCCCATCTCAACTAGGTGTACGAGTATGTAGCTCTTTATTGTTGTATTTTGTCTCTTGTTCAACCATAATGAGTAGTGCTCAGAAATTCGACGATGGACTTGCTTCATTGTACGCACAACATAAGCACCTTGACAGGAGCAGTCAAATTGATAGATGTACTTGGAAGTGGCAGAATCAGGCAGTTTTTCTTCATTTCTTGTACTTAGAATTGCTTGGTTGTGGAAAATGTGACATAATTTAGTGGGTAAGAATGCTTTTTGCAAGAGTCTTTTGATGCGTTGTGTGGTGATCTCATAGGGAAAGTCACTCTTCAATTTCAGCTTCAAGAAGATTTGCTTCCTAAAAAATGTTGGCATTTTGAGAAGAAAACTTATCAAGACGGAAGTGGCATTTGGTTTCTAAGTTGAATGATGTAATATAGTGAATGTAAAGAGAAATGTCTATAACAGCTCAAGTGACTGGAAACATCTCTTTTGAATACAGAGTTCAGGCTTCAGAATATTAATTGCCTTGGTTTCCGGAGTTTGAAGAAGTTTTAGGCGTACACTGTTTATGAAATTTATGTAAAATCTATAACTGACACTGAAGCTGTTTTCTGAACATACCCAATGGTCATGACCGATCAAATGTTCTATAATAGAGTTATGAAGTATTCTCGTTTCTCCTTTGTGGAACCAATCTGGTACATGTTCGGAAATGCATCTGGAAAGCGAACGCTGAGTATGGGCGATATATCTTACTCCACAGGACCAGGTGAATTAATAAACACACATCCAGCTGGCCATGGGATCTAGTTTATCCTTTAAGTGTAACCAAAGCATTATGTATGTGAAGAAAGTTAATCTGAGTTTAGCAGTATACAAAATACATTCATTCACTAAATTGATGTAGGTTAATTAATTCTTACCTAATAAACACTTACGTACATTTTATTTAAGCTCTGTTCTCCCATAATACTGATTGTCTGAATTTTGAAATAATTACTACGTTTTGTTTTACTTTGGCAATTTTATTTCGCTTATTCTCATGGATTTATGACTAAAGAGTCTGAAGAGGAAGTTGTTGAAAACAACTATTCTCTTAATTATTTATCACCTGTGAAATTGATTAAAAATTGATCTTTGTCTATCACTGGCTACTCGTGTGCTAAGCTAATTCCTCAGCAATAAATGTTCCCATTTTGATAATTGGAAGACAGAGTTTGAAACAAATTTGTACTTCAGGTAAATCCTTGTCAGGCTTTACAAATTATTCAGTATAGTCCTCATTTGAAACTATCATGGCTAAATATGAATTCAAAGATAACAATAAGGTGATAACAACAAAACGAAATATCGGAAGTTATTATATTCTTATTATTTATACTGGGTGATGATTGAAAGTAAAAAGAAAATTTGAACCACCACCAGATTCCAATCAGCGACCACCGGGTTCCCTACCCGATACTCTACCAACTGGACTATGAGATCCGACTACTGACAAGATGTTTATTTCACTTCAAATGGTAGTTAGATGAAATCCTTTGTGATTGAAGTTAAATAAAAAAACTTTTCAACAGTCGGACCTCATAGCTGGTAGAGTATCCGGTCAGAAAATCGGTGATCGCTTGTTCGAATCCGATTACGATCGAAATTTTCATTTCATCTTCAATCATCACCTAGTATAAATACTAGTCTACCAAACTATGGCCATCTTAGATAGTCGAATGATATTCTCAGCATTCAATCCTTGTAGGTGTGTGAGTAAATTGTGTGTGTCTGTGTGCAGAAATAGAGGGAAATAAAATAAGTCACACAGTGATTAGATAATAAAATGTCAAAATTCTTAGTCAATGAAACTATGGGCGAACAATAAAATGATAATGATAAGTGTACAAACAGAGAGTATATTTACATCTATCCAGGCGACCGATAACAAAATTATTGTAAGTGTTCTATATTGAAAGCCATGGGAAGGAAAGGGAACGAATAAACATCTGGTTACATAAATTAGGTTTAAATGTTTCCATTGCTATAGCTTCTTATGAGCTTAGAATTCCGAGGCGCACAAACTTAGAATAATGTGATGGAACTTTGTAAATAATAGTACATGCTGAGATTTTGTCAATCCTATGCTCAGTATCTACTAAATAGGCGAGTACCGAGCTTTTGATGGATTTCATTGTTTCTTTATCTAACCACGCTGAAACATGTTCAATGGAGCTATGATAGGCTTGCTGAGTTGTTCTATCTATGTAACTATCCCCACAGTAACAGTTAAATCCACATAGATGTGGCCAGATTTAGAATCCTACCCTTCAACTGCGTTGGCATCATACATAACCACATTAGTATCAAATAACTATACTGAATATTTTGTAAATGTATATGTGAAGCCTGACGAGAATCTACTGAAGATACGAATTTGCTTCAAATTCTGTCTTCTAGTTATTTCCTCAACTGTTTAACCACTGTCTTCCCTCGAATGTTTTTTCTTTTAATAACATTTTTACAGTTCATTTAAATGGTCATTTATACTGATTAAAACATGTTTCTCTCCACTGTATGCAGCTGATGAATATCTGTGGAGTAAAATGACATCATGTTATTCAGCGAATTGGTTACTTATTACGTTGTTGGAATTAATATTTTGCGATTAAATAGATATATATTTTCACATGAGTATATTTTATGTAAGTTGGATAATTTTCCTAATATGACCAAGATGAAATTCCATAGAAAACTCTACCAAAGCAATTACGAATTTGACAACATTTTCTACCGTTAAATGTAAAGTGAATATGATGTACTAGCCTACTCATTGCAAAATCATCAATAGAATTCGGTTAGCCCTCAGGACTAGAAAACATGAAATTAGTTACTCTTCAGTGATTAATCAATGCATATAATCCAATCCTACAGACAGTCATTTACCAACAAAACAGCCTAACGATAACTCCTCTGATATGGGTTGAAATCTCTCACGTGACATCAGTTCCCTGAAGGGTGCGGATGTAGTTCCTTTCACTGATTACCTTCGACGAACTAACACTTATCAAAGCACAACACAACGATGAGTCTTTGAGAGTGATGATTACGTTGCAATTATGACCGAGAGAAGCTACTTAGTACTTAGAATTGCTCAAGTTTGCTTGTTTAATCCACTCAAGAGAAAGCCTTGTATGTGCTATTACTAGTCTATTTCCGTTGCTGCTTGGACCAAAATGACTGGCTGCTATTTGTATTCGTTTTCGTTACACTCTGATATCTTGGGCCAGAACT